TGGGGCTCACCTTCGGGTCAGTTTGGAGGTCAGCTTGGTGAAGAGGTTGGTGGCGGGGCGGGGCCGCCCAGTGGGCAGGGGTGCGGCCTCGTGGGCCAGTGTGGGTGAGGCGGGGGGCCCGTTCTGCACGCCCCCCCCTCCCCCGCCCCCTGCCCGCCGGTCGCGGACCTGGCCACCATGGAAGGTGCTCCGGATGGTGGAGCCACGGGCCAGGCGGCTCCGCTCCCCCGATGGGGGAGCCAGGCTGTGACTGGAGGGGGAGGCGGGGGGCACCCGTGGGGTGCCTGAGCTGTGGGCAGAGAAGGACAGGTCAGGGCGGGGCCTCAGGGCAGGCCAGGGTTTCAGTCCCTGATCTCCGTCCTGTGGCCAGAAACCTCAGCCAGCCTGAACTCAGACAGGGTTACCATGTTCAGTTGTGCAGGTTGTGGGCACTACAACCCAGCATCATTCTCCCTCCTTCCTCCTCCCAAGTCTCCCCTCCTTTCGACTGTCCCTTCTTCAAACTTTACCCCTCCGAATTAACCCGCTACCCCAACTCTCGTCTCTCCAATCTCAGCAATTCAATAGACTCCCGATACAATTATGGCTGGATCCCCTACTACTCACCATCCAAGCCTCAGGAATTAAATCAAATCAACTCAGCAAATACTTTAAGATCTGACCTCTCATTATGCAAACTCCGGATAACTCTTACAAAAGCTGTGTGGGCAGTAGGGGGCCCCTTTCTCCAGATCTTCCTGTAGCCCCCCTGACCCTCCCAATCCTGATACCAGGGTCCAGACCTCCAATTTCTATCCTTCCAGAGACCCCAGAACCCATTTGGAGCTGAGAGAGGGAAACTCCTGACTGTGGGAGAGGCTGCTGCTTCTCCCCCAGAATCCAACATTCCTGTTTCACTCTTAAGTTAACTGAACCCTTAAGACTACCAGCATTGCACACAGCCACCCAGCCTGAGACTACATTTCCCAGCACTCCTTGCAGCTAAGTATGGTCATGTGGCTATTCCCTGGCCAATGGGATATGAATGCAAGTGCTTTGTACCATTTCCAAGTCATGTCTTTGAAAAGAGTGTGGCTTGCCCTCCACTCTCTTCCTACCTGTCTTGCTGGTTGAGAAGTGGTGGCAAGTGGTACAGTGTCCTCAGACCCTGAGCTGGACTGTTAATGTCACAGAGAAATAAATATCCATCTTATTTAAGCTGCTGTATTTTGGAGCCTCTTTGTTAAAGCAGCTGAGTCTATAATCTGACTGATATACGCTCTCTTGATCATAACTGGAAAGCCATGTATCACGGCGTTATGAGACAGTTTCTGGACTCAGTCTGGAATCTTTGTTCCTGTGTGGTCTTTGACAGGCTACGTGACCGCTCTGTGCTGTGACCTCAGTTGTGAAATAGAGACAGTATCAGGATCCAAGTCACAGAGATATTATCTGCACAAAGGCCTGCTACATGGTTGCTCCCTGATAAACGTTGGCTCTTGTTCTTTGTATTCAGTAACCACCAGTGCCTACTATGAGTCAGACCCTGTGCAGGTCCATGCCATGTCTCACCTCTACTGGAGCCCCTGAACAGGGCATGCCCCCATGTGCCCCCAGCCCATCAGCCCCATTTGACAGAGAAGCAAATGGAGTCTCAGAGCCTTGCCCAATGCCTTCCTGGCTAGCAGTGGGCAGAGGCAAGATATGAACTCAGAAACAAATGACTAGAGAATCCCTGTTCTCACCCAGTCTGTTACCCTGGGGGCCAGACAGTCAGTTATCGAGTGCACCCCAGAACCTGTCTTAGTGCGGCCACTTATGCCATCCAGTCTGAGTTGGCCTCCCTCTCCGCCCGCAGAAAGAGACCGAACACACCAGTCCAACAAGTCGGAAAACCAGCCCACCAGATGACGCCGAAGCCGTGGCATTCTGGGACTTCTCTTTCTAAAGTTCTAAAAACGGATCATTCAAAAAATCCACTTGGGTTTCCAAGGCTCGTGGGCGGAGGACAGGGCAGACTGCTTTCCTGGTGCTGCTGACTAATTAATTAAGGGGGGAAGATTTTCGGGGTGGGGGGGTGGTACAGAAGATGGGGAAGCCTGGGTAGATCTGGCCAAGGGCAGGGCAGACGCATACACTCCCCAGCCCCCAAGGCACCCTACCCCCACGCCCACCATCTTGGATCAAGAGGGGCCCTGCTCACCCACACCCCGATTCCCCGTACCATCCCCCTCCATACCTGTTTTCTTTGCCATTTGGCAACAAGGACGGGCGCTCAGCTCCCGGGCGTTCGGTGCAAACGTAGGTGTTTCTGCGGGTCATCATGCTGGGGGGGAGGCTGTTCTGAGGGCGACATGAGCAGGAGAGGAGTGAGCGGGGAAGGGTGAGCCCTCAAACCCTGCCCCGTTCAGCCTCCTCACACTCTTCATTATGAACCAGTCAGGGACTCATGTGGGAACTGAGAGGCAGGAAGAGACAGTTTGGTCAGGGCTAAAGGGCACAGACATGAAAAGTTCATGGAAGATTCCAGAAATATAGGCTAAGAGTCATGGGAAGCCATGAGAGCTTAAAGCGGGAGCTACTGAGGGGAGAGAGGGCCAGGGAAGGTTTCCAGGAGGCAGCCTGGCCCATCTCTCCCCTCTCACGACCACCCAGCCACACCCAATCTGTTCTTTACAATCTTAATCTCGCTGCTCTGCTCCCCTCCGCTCTTAGCATTTGCACAGGTTGCCTCATCTATTTAAACAGTCCTCCTTTTCCCAATTCCTGCCTACTTACCTTCCAGGTGTCAATTCATATTGTACCCACCAGCCCTGGCCCCAGGATGAGCCAGGTGCCTTCTCTGGGCTCCCTATCGAAGCCCTGATTACTTTGTATTGTCAACGCTCTGTTCACATGTCTGCCTGATCCCCACAGCAGGCCATGAGCTCTGCAGGAAGTATTAGGATGAAGCCACTTCACACATGTGATGGGAACCCGTTCCCTTTCCAGCCTCTGGAAGCTTGTAAGACTGGTATTCTTTCTTCCTTCAATGTTTGAAGATTCCAACAGCTGAAGGCACCTAGACCTAGAATTTTCTTTATGAAAAAGTTATAAATGACGGATTCAATTTCTTTAACAAGAATCTAAGTCCTTTCAGTTTTTCTATTTTTTCTTGTGTCAGTTTTGGTAAGATGTGTTTTTAAAGACGTTTGTTTTGTACACTCTAAGTTGACAAACCTACTGTCATTAAGTACTTCCCTAATGTTTTTTCTCTTTATGATGAAATGTCCCCTTTTCATTTCTGATATTGGTAATTTGTGTTGGCTTTTTTCTTTTTTTAAAATTTTTTATTGTGATTTGAGTGTAAATTTACAGAGCAAATTTACTTTCCACATGGCATTTCATACCCTATCTTTTTTATTAACCAGTTCTGCTAGGGGAATCTACTGATTTTATTAACATTTGCAAAGAATCAATTTTTGGCTTTGTTGATTTTTTTTTTAGAGTACTTTCTCCTTCATTCATTTCTTCTCTTTACTATTATTTCCTTTCTTATACTTTGGCATTAATTTGCTGTTCCCTCCTCCTTACGGTGTGGCTTCACTGTAACAGTTACAAGACCTCTCATTCCCTGAACACTTACAGTGTCAGACATCACATAAAACACTTTACATACAAGGTCTTACCTGAGCCTTACAACAACCCAAAAAACACCAAAAACCAAACTCACTGAACTGAGTTGATTCTGACTCACAGCAACCCCCAATGGGTTTCCAAGGCAATATATCTTTACAGAAGTAGACTGCCCCATCTTCCTTCCGCAGAGTAGCTGGCAGGTTTGAACTGCCAACCTTCTGGACAGCAGTCAAATGCCTTAGGCAATGTGCCACCAGAGTTTCTCACAACAAGCCAGATTCTTTAATAAGCCCATTTTACAGAGTGGAATATTGATGCTCAGAGAGGTGAAGTCACTTGTCCAAGGTTACGTGGCTCATCAATGTGATTCAAGCCCTGGTCTATGTAACTTCAGAGTCCCGACCACCCTCTTATCCAACCTCTCCGTTTATATCCCCATGTGCAAGAGACCTGGACACCCTCACCCTGCACTATACCCTTCTAGGGACCTGCAGAAGGGGAAAGGGAAATGCCTCACTCCCCAGGCTCCTTTGCAGTTCAGGCTCTGGATGTGAAGTAGGTTCGGCCGACCTGTGCACTCACTCACTCACTAAGATCTGGAAGGTGGAAACGGGTGGCGGCCACCTTCCTGCCCCCTCTGCTGCTTCTGCCCACAGACAAGGACATGAGACAAGAGGTGTCTCTTCAGCACCACCCAGTGTCCACTCTCCAGCCCTCTGGGGCTCAAAAATCTCTTTCAGTGGAACCTTGGACTTCAGCCATAGCTACGTGTTCCTGAATTTGGTGAAGTCGCCAAGGCAGCAGCTCCCTTGCTGGGTCACTTCCACTATGCTGCTGTCAGCAACAGTTCTGTTACCGGTCACTGTCAAATCCACTCCGCTCATGGTGACTCCGCATGTCAAATAGAACTGTGATCCATTTCTCAATGGCTGACTTTTTCAGAAGCAGACTGCCAGATCTTTCTTCCTAGGCACCTCTGGATGGACTTGAACTCCTAACCTTTTTGGTTAGCCAAGCCTATTAACCGTTGACATCACCCAGGCACTGCCGTCAATCCTGTGGGGTCCAGTCTTGCCTGCTCCTTCAGCCCTTTCTATGATTTCATAAGCACCGAATTCCCTATACTACATCCCTCTGGCTGAAAGCACTTATGTTTGTTTTTTTCTGACACTGCTGATATCTATACTAGCATCCGATTCATAGCAACCCCCACTGGGTTTCCCAGGTGGTAATTCTTTATGGCAGTAGAGTGCCCTGTCTTCCTTTTGCGAGTGGGTGGTGGGTTTGAGCCACCAACCTTCTGGTTAGCAGTCAAATGCCTTAGGTACTGTGCCACCAGAGCTCCTTAGCAAACAAAAGGCACTCCATAAATATCTGCTGAGTGAATGAAGGGATACAACAAGGAGATTTGTGGGGCGGGGTCTGGGGAACAAGATGGCAGAGATTCAAGACAGCACAAGGGAGTGTCCTCCTCTGGGCCCCGCCCACTCACAGGGCAGCCCCGCCCACTCACAGGGCAGCCCCGCCCACTCACAGGGGTGCTCGTGCTGTCCTTCCGCCGCTCAGGGATCTCAGCCTTGTTGGGGTTGTGGGCGCTGCTGACCATGGGGCTGGAGGGAGGCAACCCTCGACTCCCACTCCCCGTGGCACTGCAGCTCGCCTTCCGGCCGGGCAGGCGCTCCTCCTTCAGCTCCGCCTCCCCTGTGCTGGTCGGGCTGCGCTTCGGGTGCAGGGGTGTGGGGGATGGGCCACCTGGCGGAGGAGGAGGTACGGTGAGAGGTGGCGTGAGGTGTGAGTCTGCCTACCGGGCAGAGCGCCACTGACACCCGCAAGCTCTAATTTAGCAAGTCATCGGTGGCGTCACTAGGGTTAGCGCTACTTAGTGCTGTAACTCACGGTTTCACCCCCCTGTGGGCGGGGCCAGATGATGGACCCTCCCCCTCGTGGGCAGAGCCTGCCGCAGGGCCGTGTTCGCCAGACACACAGCGCCGCCCTGCCCACACCTTGCCTGGCACAGTGATGGGGGGTAACAAGTTACTGCAGCGGATGACAGGTGCCACCAATCCTAGCCATGCACTGCCTTGGAAGCCCTTCCCCCTGGGATGCCAGCCTGCCCGCTGCACTGGCCCTGGGTCATTTTGGGGTCACCCCCACTGACGGTGTCAGGGGGGTGAGCTCTGCAACTCCCTGACATTCCTAGAGAAACCACTGCAAGGCTTGAGAGCGGCGTGGATAAGGATTAGTGTGTTGTTAGGTGTTATCCAGGCGACTGTGATCCATGGTGTCCCCATGTGTGGCGAGTAAAATTGCACCATAGAGTTTTCAGGGCTCGGAACTTTTGAAAGCAGGTTGTCAGGCCCATCTTCCAAGGCGCCTCTGAGTGGGTTCAAACCACCAACCTCTCAACTAGCGATCGAGCACTTAACCACGTGGATCACCCACAGGCTCTCAGTATCTCCTCCGGGTGATCCCAGGAACCTGAAAATCCCTCACAGAGGGTAAAATTTACGCATAGGGCGTCCTGACAGTACGTTGCAACATTTTAAGTGCACTTTTGCTTGTTAGATCCTCAGGAATCGTAATGATTCAAAAGCCCCAGAACCGAGAACAATGTGGAACAAAACTCAAAATCATTTGGAGGCAAAAAAAAAAAAAAAAAAGAAGGTGGGGACCAGGTTTGCTGGTCCAATAGAGCCTGGTGTAACCACTGAGACTATGGCCCCTAGCTGCCCTTCAGGTCTGGAATTGAACCCACAACTGTGGTTTCCAGCCAAACAAAGTACAGGCATGTGAGTTAAACATTTACCTCAAGTAGACACACGCCCTGGAGAGAACAATCATGGGAGAAGGAAGGGCTGCTTATGCACAGGGAGATAGCTCAGGGTGCAGAAGAGTATGAAGGGATGGACACTGGGAGGAGGTAACTATGGGGAGGAAGTGGGAGGGGAGCTGTTGCATTGTAAATTTTGGTCAATGACATGAGACAAAGTATATGTGAACTGCTGTATGAAAAGTGAATTTACTCTGTAAATCTTCACCCAAATCCAAAAAAAAAAAGCCCCAAAACCACAGCAATGAAGGAAGAACAATGATGGAACATCACAAGAGACCAAAACCCAGGCACTTGTCAATAATCCTCCCCAAAAAAGCCCTGGAACCCAGGTCCCCATGTGAACGCTTATAAAGGTCCAATGGTCCACCTGGAGTCCCTGGATGGTACGAACAGGCTAACAAGCTTGACTGGTAACAGAAACGTTGGCAGTTCAAGTCCACTGACCCAGAGTGCACTGAAGAAAGGTGTGGTGATTTACTTCCAAAAAAGTCGGCCACTGAAAATGCTACGGACAGGCCTGGAACCAAACTCACCCCATGGTCCAACGTTCAGCCTACCCAGTGACCACCACCATCGGGGAGGTACACGCTCCTTAAACAATCAGCCCTTCGAGAGCGGAAGGGCAGATGTGCCCAGTTATAAAGCTCAGGAGGCAGGAAGGGACAGGAACGAAGGTTGCAGGGAAGTGGCGAGCACAGGGAGGAAGTGGGAAGAGAGCTGTTACACTGTGGGGTCGGCCGTCACTGTCAGAAAATGCCTATCATTTGTCGGATGGAAAGCCAGTGTGCTCTGGGAGCTGTCACCCAAATCACAATACAAATTAAAAAATAAAAAATCCTACGGAGCACCGTTCACAGCTCTGCTTTGACACAGAAGGGGTCACCGTGACCAGAGTTGTTTTAGTCTCATTAACATGCCAATGACAGTTCAAAAGGGTCACTGTGCATCAGTGGGTTTGGTTTAGAGGATGCTGGAGGCACACACTCCTTTGAGACTTTCTTATCACCTTAGAGATGGGGAAAAGGAGACCTGGGGACAGGGAATGGCTTGCAGACAGATGACAGCAGAGGCGGAACCTGGCACTTCCTGCTGAGGGCTTATGGGAGCTTCCGGGTGCCCTCTGCACCCCGATGCCTGTCTTAGAGTGAAGAAGCAGGGCTGAGAGACTGTGCAGGGTTGGGCAACATGCGGCAGCTCCTTAAATGGGTGCATGTAATGTTGCCTTGGACCCAGCAATTCCGCTCCTGTGTATACACAGGCATCCACAGGAGAAACTGTGAGTGGGGCTCCAGACCTCCCCAATAAAGTGAATAGTGCAATAAAGGGGTCCCACCAATCTTTTGGTTTCTCAGTGCATTGAAAAGTAATGTTGACACCGTTATTGTTGTTATGTGCTGTGGAGTCAAACCCGACTCATTGCGACCCCTCCTTGGGTTTTGGATGCGGTATCACTACGGAAGTAGATTGCCCGACCTTCCTTCCAAGGAGTGGCTGGTGGGTTTGAACCGCCAGCCTTCTGGTTAGCAGTCAAGTGCCTTAGGCACTACGCTATCAGAGCTCCCGATGTTGACACTACACTGTGCCAATACATCATATGCTATACACTGTGCGTCCATGAAGGGAGCCCTGGTGGCGTAGTGGGTAAGGCATTTAGCTGCTAAGCAGAAGGTCAGTGGTTCAAACCCACCAGCTGCTCCATGGGAGGAAAATGAGGCACTCTATTTCCGTAAAGATTTACAGCCTTGGAAATCCAATGCGGGTTGCTATGAGTCGGAATTGACTCGATGGCAGTGAGTTTTGTTTTGTTTTGTTTTCTAAATATGTCTATGAAGTGGGCGGGAGCTCTGGTAGCGTAGTGCCTAAGGCACTTGACTGCTAACCAGAAGGCTGGCGGTTCAAACCCACCAGCTGATCCTCGGAAGGAAGATGGGGCAATCTACTTCTGTAGTGATACTGCCTCGGAAACCCAAAGAGGGGTCACTATGAGTCGGGTCCGACTTGACAGCACATAACAACAACAACGACATGAAGTGTGCAACAGCATGACCAAAACGTGTGAAATACTGTGACAATGACCAAAGCAAGGCAGAGACACGAAGTGAGTACAGGCTGTTGGAAAAACAGCACCCAAAGACCTGGTCGTAGCAGGATTGCCACAAACTTTCCATATGTAAAAAACGTTGTTATCTGTGACGTACAATAAAACGAAGCAGGATAAAACAATGTGTATCTAAACTCAAAACAGTGAAAATGCGTGTCCACAAAAACACTACCACAGGGATGTTCATAGGAGCCCTTTTCCTCACGGCCACAAACAGAAACAAGCCAGCTGGCTGATCAACGGATAAATAAACACGGCCTGTCCATATGACACAACAGCATTCGGCCATGGAAGGGCTGGGGCACGGACCCAACGTGGATGACTCTAGAAAACACGATGCCAAGGGACACGAGATCCTGAAGGCCACCTATCGCCCGAGTCCATGCACACGACACACCCAGGAGAGGCGAATGCAGAGATCAGAAAGTGGATTCATGGTTGCTAAGGGCTGGGGGAACTGTGAGGGGGATGGGGGATGATGGCTGAGCGTGTGAGGGTTTTTTGGGGGGTGATGAAAATGTTCTGACTGTAATAGTCAAAGCCGATGAAATGTACACTTTAAAGGGAATTGTATGGTATGTGAATCACATCTCAAGAAAGCAGTTTAAAAAAATAATGCAGACTGTCACTTTAGTTTTGCGTATTTTCACTGTATATAAATTATATTTCAATAAAACTATTTTAAAAATAATAATGGAGAGGATTAGTATTTGATGAGGGTGTGGGTCAGAGGCCACAAAAGTTCCATGTCCACTTTGTGAGTACGTGGGGGTTTATGTATATTCCACAGGGGATGGGATGTCTGTCAGTCACAGCACAGATAATAAAACCAGCCTCCCTTCACCTCAGCACGGAGGACAGGGCAGAGGGCAGGCTCTCAGCAGCCACTTTGTACAATGTGTCCTCTTGGGCCCCAGTCACAGTGGATTGGTCCTAGCTGGACCCTGGTATCAGGAGCCCTGGTGGCACACTGGCTAAGCGTTCGGCTAGTGTTCTGGTTACCTACTGCCACTCTGACAGGAATATACCACAAATGGGATGGCTTTAACCAACAGGAGTTTATTCTTACATTTTGGAGGCTTTAAATCCAAGTTCAAAGTGCCAAGCTCTCGGGCCTGGGTGAAAGCCCCTCAACCTTGGGGTCCAGCTCTGCCTCCTGCTCCCAGCCCACTGGAGCTAGAGGCATTTCTTCACTCAGATAGCTGCTGGCTGCTGAGGCTGCCAAGCCCAAGACTGACAAGTAAAAAGGCACAGTCCTGATGTTACCCAACCACATGGCAGGCCATTAACTTAAGTCCATTTTAAGTCCCCAGGTCGGCAGAGCATGGCAGGCTGCTGAACAACGACATGGCTACACGTAGGGTCCAAGTGTGCCACAGATTAGAGACCATTCCCCAAGGCTTCTCCTTATATACAGGAAGCAGACCACATTCCTAAGGCAGCTACTCAGCTGCTCACAGTAGATTCCACCATGGAGTTGACCAGTCTCATCATGGGGAATACTACATCCAGCTGCCCAGCCAAGTTGATACACAAACTGAACTACCACAGCTAGTAACTCAAAAGTCAGCAGTCTGAACCCACCAGCTGCTTCTCGGGAGGGATGACGGGACAGTCTGCTTGTGGAGAGATTTACGGCCTTAGGAACCCAATAAAGCAGTTCTGCTCCGCCCCGCCCCGAGCCGCCATGACCCAGACTCTGACTAACACGGGTCTGAGCTCACAGGGCCAAGGACTGAGTGTGAGGGTGGATAAACCATGTCCCCCCAAGTAAGTGTTGGACACCTAACCCCTGTGTTTATAGATATAATCCTGTTTGCAAACAGTGTGTTTTCTGTTAATAGGGTTTTTACCAGTGCAGGGTGGGTCCTGAACCCAGTCCCTTATGAGCTACGGAAAGAGCAGAACAGACAGAAAGAGGGGAGACAGTAGCCCTGCGAGGACGGCCAAGAGCACGAGGCTGTGAAGTCCTGCGGGGCCACTGAGTGAAGCGCTGGACCACTACCTGAAAGGCTGGTGGCTTGAACCCAGAGGTGCTTCAGAAGACAGCTTTGGCAATCTGCTTCTGAAAGGGCCCAGCCTTGAGTTTGACTGTGCGCACATGGCGTTACCACGACTCAGGATCAACTAACCAAAACCAAACCAAACCCACTGCCATCGGGTCGATTCCAACTCACGGAGACCCCCATTGGGTTTCTGAGATGGTCAATCTTTACAGAAGCAGATTGCCCCGTCTTCCTTCTGCACAGTGGCTGGGGGGTTTGAACCACTGACCTGCTTGGTTAGCAGTCAGATGCCTTAGGCACAGCGCCACCAGAGATCCTTCAGGATCAACTAGATCACAAGTAACAACAGTAACAACAACTGGAAGGGAGGAACTGAATGAAGGAATGCCCAAGGTTACCGGAAGGAAGGAGCCTTGGTGGCACAGTGGTTTAGCACTCAACTGCTAACCAAAAGATCACTAGTTGGAACCCACCAGCCACTCTGCAGGAAAAAGATGTAGCAGTCTGCTTCCGTAATTATTTACAGGTGCACCTCACATATAATGCATTTTTTTTTTTACAAACTGAAGGTTTGTGGCAACCCTGCATCTAGCAAGCCCGCTGGAACCATTTTTTCAGCATGAACATAACTATTAACGTGCACCAGGAAACAAAACAAATGTGACTTGCTTCAGTGTGGTATTTTACTGTAGCGGTCTGTAACCAAACCTGCATGATCTCTGAGGTCTGCCTGTACGACCTAGGAACCCCATAGGCCAGTTCTACTCTGTCCTCTAGGGGCGCTGTGAGCTGGAATCGACTCCATGGCAGTGGGTGTGGTTTGGGCTTTGCTTCTGCAAAGACTGACAGCCTTGGAGACCCTGTGGTGCAGTTCCACTCTGTCCTCTAGGGGCGCTGTGAGACGGAATTAACTCGACCACAACAGATAATGGGTACTGACAGAGGATCACAAGGCAGACCCCGACTTGGCCTTTTTGCCTCCAGAACTGTGAGAAAATAATCTTCTGTTCTGTAAGGCCGCTCACTGTGGCATCTGTCACAGCAGTGCAAGGCACCTGAGGCCGGAGGGGGTGGGGCGATACTCACAGAAGTCGCTGTGCCGACGCTGGCGGTGGTAGGTGGAGGATGAACTCCGCTGCCCTTTGCTGTGGCTGACGCCTTTGCTGGAGCTTGTTCCATTGGTGGTGTCGCTGGGCGCCCGCACCCGAGCCAGGGCCAGTCCTGGGACGCCCCGGTCCCCACCCTCCTGTGGGAGAATGGCAGACGAAGACGCTTCAGCCCGTCCCACCTGCCCCCCACTTCCCTCGGTCCCAGGACATCGCGGGCCCCGAGGCGACCTCTGACCTCACTTTTCCTGCCCAGCAGGAGGTAGGTGGCGGTCACTTCGTTGTACTTCTGGTTGGTCAAGGCCTCTTTGATTTCTTCCCGCGCGTAGCCCATGCCCACCATCACCTCTGCGGGAGGGGACGGAGAGAGAGAACGGTCAGTCTCCCCATACCCTTCTCTTCCATTTCTACACTTCACGTCTGCTGTCGGGCCTGTCCAAGACCCACTGCCCCATTTTCCTTGGGAAAATATCCCGCCCCTCCTCAGACCATCTCGCTGACTCCTGCCTGCTCCAAGCCCTCCCCTCCGAAAAAGGAACAGCTGCTGTGGAGTCAATTCCAACTCACGGAGACCCCACGTGTATCAGATTAGAACCGTGCTCCATAGGGCTGTCAGCGGCTGATTCTGGGGAAGTGAGTTGTCAGGTCTTTCTGCGGAGGGTGGACTTGAACTACCAACCCACCCGTTAGCAGCTCAGTGCTTAACTGTTTGTACCACCCAGGAACCCCCTCCATGATCCAAGGCTGAACCTATGACCCAGGTCTAGCCAATCACAGCATTCCATCAGCAAACCCACACTGATTGGTTTAGGGGTAGCCAATGGGCACCAGCCTGGGGCTTATGGTAGTACATCAGAAAGGGGCCTCTCTTTCTGATGGGCAGTCCAGGCCACCTAGGATATGCTGCGGCCAGCTTATTTCCGATGCTGAGAATTGCCTGGGAGATAAGCCAATGATGGTCTCTGAGCACCTGGACCCAGCTGCACCTGAAGCCTGCCACACCTCCGGCTTTTTCAGTTATGTGAATCGGTAAATCATTCCTATTAGGTTGAACCATATGAAATTGCTGATGCTGACGGGTTTTGACCTCCAAAGAGGTCATATTTCATATGGGTCAACCTATTATCGTTATCGCGAGCCAGTGTTGGTTCACTGGTAAATTCTCATCTTCCTCACAGCTCGTGTGGAGCCCCGCCCCGCCTCCCCCCCCACGTCAACGGAACCCCGCGTCAACGGAACCCTGCGTATCGCTCTGATATTGAATGGGTTTCAGCGGAGCTTCTGGGCTAAGGCCTGGTGCTGTACAACAGAAACGGATCCAGTCCCCAGCCTCTCCATGGGAATGACGCAGGACCGGGAGGCGTTTTTTCTTGTGTGTATGGTCGCCATGAGCTGGGACTGCCTCAACCAGAGCTAACAACAACGCTACTGTATTAGTATCACATTTAAACCAGACTGGACGGGAATTTCCTGTTAATTCCAGCCACCAAGGCCCTAATTTATGCAGCCAGGCTCTGCTCATGGTCAGTTTCTTCCTCTGCAGAATGGGGTGTTACTGGCTGGTTTCCAAGGGGCTCTTCAGGGCTAACATCAGATGATGTATAGCACTGGGCAGATTGCTGCAAAAGACCACTTTCAAGTGCTGAAGAGCAAAGATGTCTCCTTGAGGACTAAGGTGCGCCTGACACAAGCCATGGTATTTTCAATTGCCTTGTATGCATGTAGGAGCTCTGGTAGCATAGTGCCTAAGGCACTTGACTGCTAGCCAGAAGGCTGGCGGTTCAAACCCACCAGCCACTCCTCGTAAGGAAGATGGGACAATCTACTTCCGTAGTGATACTGCCTCGGAAACCCAAGGAGGGGTCACTATGAGTCAGGTCCGACTCGACGGCACATAACAACAACAACATATGCATGTGAGAGCTAAACAATGAAAGAGGAAGGCCCAAGAAGAGTTGATGCTTTTGAGTTGTGGTGCTGGCGAAGAATGCTGGAAGTACCGGGGACTGCTAAAAGGACTAACAAATCTGTCCTGGAGGAAGTGCAGCCGGAATGCTCCTTGGAAGTGAGAATGGCCAGATTTCGTCTCACCTACTTTAGTCATGTTGTCAGAAGGAACCAGTCCCTGGAGAGGGATATGATGCTTGGTAGGGTGGAGTGTCAACGAAAGAGAGGAAGGCCCTCATCGAGACGGATTGATACAGGGGCTACAACGACGGACTCAAGAATAGCAAGGATCGTGAAGCGGGCGTGGGGCTGGGCAGTGTTTTGTTCTGCTGGGCATGGGGTCACTGTAAGTCAGAGACGACGCGACGGTACCTAACAACAACGACAACTTTGGGGCTAATGCTTTAGGGGACAAGAGCTCTAAGGCCCCAGGCTCGAGGGATCGGGACCCAGGGTGGGCAGGCGAGGCCTGTGCTACCATGGGGCCCTCTCCAGGCAGGCAGGTCACCAACGGCATGTGCCCGGCTTCCTCGGAAAGTGCTCCATGACTTCCTTGATCTTTCTCTTTTGAAATAATATTTTACTGTGTTTTCAGTGAAGGTTGATGCAGCAGGTTAGGTTCCCATTTGACAATTTCCACATCAACTGTCCATTGACATTGGCTACATTCTTCACCATGAAGGAACTTTCTCATGAATTCCATCCTGGTGGGTGCCGTTTAAGGAGCCCTGGTGGAGCAGTGCCTAAGGCATGTGACTGCTAACCAGAAGGTTGGTGGTTCAAACCTACCAGCCACTCCACAGAAGGAAGACTAGGCTGTCTACTTCTGTAAAGATCTTCCTCCTTGGAAACCCAAAGGAGGTCGCTATGAGTCAAAATCGATTCGATGCAGTGAGTTTGTTTTTTTGTTTGGTTTTGCTACCTTTTCTTTTCTCTCCTTGTCTTAAATATTAAAAGCGAATGCACATATAGCATTTATTATACACCAAGTACTATATATAGATAAACTCTTAATTTTCCCAACAAATCTCTGAAAAGCAGCCCTGGTGACGCAGTGGTTAAAGCACTCAGCTGCACACTGAAAGGTGAGTTCGACCCTGCACGCACGGGGTCACCAGGAGCCAGCATGGACTACAGGATGATTAACAACAACCTGGAGGGACAGACCTGAACAAAGGAATGCCCAAGGCTGCCAGAAGGCCCTGGAGGCACAGTGGTTACACACTCAGCCGCTAACTGAAAAGGTTATAGCTTTTTGAACCCACCAAGCAGCTCCATGGAAGAAAGATGGGGCAGTCCTTCCTTAAAGACTGCCAGCCTTAGAAACACTATGGCACAGTTCCACTGTCCTCTAGGGGCGCTGTGAGTGGGAATCAACTCCACGGCAGTGGGTGTGGTTTGGGCTTTGCTTCCATAAAGACTGACAGCCTTGGAAACCCTGTGGGGCAGTTCCACTCTGTCCTCTAGGGGCGCTGTG